TTTCTCCATACTCGTTCTCGACCGTTTGGAGCACGTAAAGCTATTCGACACTCATCTGTGAACAACACTCTAGCCCATTGCTCGTGGGTCCAATTGACATGTTCTCTTGCAAACTGAAGTCGGGCTACTCGGTGCTGTCTGAGAAGTTCTGGACCTCGTGCTGGTCTACGAGCTTTTAAATTCACTTCCTCCATTCGTCTTCTCACCGTACGCTCACTAACATTAACGCCTCTTGCGATTTGGAGCCGCTGGCGTATCTCAACAGCGGTCAGGTAGCGGTTTCTCAAAATCTCCATAACAATAAAACGATCGTCCCGGGCCGATGTGCACCTTACGCCCCCACTGCCTGGCCTGCGGGTGTAGCGGCCTGTCTCCTGGTATCGTTTCAGTGAATACTGCATTGAGGACCGTGGTACGTTAAGCACAATAGCAACTTCACGCTGTGTCAGCCCTTGGTCAATTAATGCTACTGCTTGTGCAACTTGTGCTGGTGTTAATGGCATTTTTATTGGCTTTAAAGCACCTTTAGTTATTTAATTAAGACACAAGATCACAATAATTGAATAACCTTACAGTAAACTTTTCACAACACACAAATTTAAAATGTGAACTTAGTCGCTCAAATGACCCGATTCAACTAAAAATTAAAGAATTCGTCATGGTGCACTTAAACATAATGAATTACCCTCTTGAACTTGAGGGTAAACATTTTTTGACATACTTGCATAACAAACATTCATCAGAAACACTTAAAGCTTTTGCTATCGCGAGATAACCGCTTGGCCAAGTTTCCGTGCCGGTGAGTCTGAGAAAGTTGTTGTAAGTACATCTGCTAATCATGGGATCCTGGGTTAGGCCAAACTCAGTTGTTGGGTTTTGCTGTCAAGAAATTCTCAGTAGCAGCCCGGAGCCAGAAAATTGGCAGTGTTTCAACCCCGCGCCTCGGAAAGCACATAAAGCCGTTGTAATATTTATGTAAATATGTATGTAAATAATTACAGGCGGATACAACATGCAAATAACTTTCTCAACACTGTGTATCTGTATTTCTAGGATAAAGAAAGATTAACCTTTCCCTTGCCGCGCCCGCCATAACAAAAAACAGAGCTTTGTACCGGGGCCTCTGTCGTCACCTCAGCTGGCGGCACTTGTTATAAACACTTATGTTTCTCACGACCTTTCGTTTATGTTTAAAGAGGTTATAGTTACAGTTATTTGAAGCCGATAAGATTTTTTGATAAGTAGAAACAATAACCATAACATATAAATGTTTATTTTACTTTGTACAGCTCTTTGTTTCTAACCGATCTTGATAAAGTGTACTTACTGACGATAAATTTTATTTTATGAATGAAACATCGTAAGTTTTTATTTTATTTTTATGTCCTTACAATCAATACAACATATTCTTCCTAAATGAACCGAAATTATGCATGTAATAATTATAATAATTCTACTTTTTCACTTGCCAACATTTGCTAAAAAATTCGACAATAGACAGTTAGCGCTTGCTTTGAAAATGAGTTTACACTTACTTTTTACTTTACTATTTACTTTTTGTGTATATATTTTATATCGTCTTCCTTTATTTTTCTTATACAATCATATAGATATAACATTTAGCAATTCTTAGTCAAAGTATTTACTGTGGTATTCCAATAAGAAATATACTATTATTATTTTATTAGAATCTTATTAGAAATCTTGACCGTTATGAATTGTTCGCGTAGAGGTTTTATATTTCTACTTTTTTATCAATTGAAACATAAAAAGTTACTGTTGTTGTAACTTAAATCATTCAAAAACATTACGTAGTAAAGATAAATAACATTACTTACAGTTTTTTTTGAAAGAAAATCCAACTAAAATCACAATCACAAAACTTCAACGATTACGCAACTAACCGTACCGGTATGCAAAGGCGAATGGCTGTTATATTTGATTTTGTCTATGTAACCGAGTGAATATAATTCTTCAGAATATTCTTTAGTTCGTTCACAATCGAATGAAATAGTGTTCAATCGAAAATATACTGTATTTTTATATCAATTAATGACGAAAATAGCAGCACGTAATGCGGACATGTATACATGTCCTCGGTACTCAGCGGTCACAAAACGTGGACATGTTAACATGTCCACGGTACCTTAAGGGTTAAAAAAATGATAACGAAATACAGTACTAAAATTATATAGAAGCGGAAAGGAAAGAACATTTTTTATAGAATATTACAAAAGATGGTTTTGACAGTGGTAGAGCCACGCGCGGCAGCTTTGCTGTTGCACGTATGGGCCGGCTCAAACCGGGGTGGTACCACGACCTCACAGAATACCGGCGTGAAGTGGAAGCTCTGCTTCCGCGTTTCGTCTGGTGAGTGCAGGTGGCCGGGGGCCCAAATTCCCCCCCCCCTCCCCATCAACATGGTAGCGGAATTAAATGATAGACTACCCCAGGAGGGTACCAGCACCTCTGGAGAATCCCTGGCTGAGCATCCACGACCATGTTTCTTCGCTTGAGCGTGGGTGCTCAGGCTGCCCCGCGTATTCTGGGGGTGGGGGCGGCAAAATTCCGCTCAAGACTACTACTGCTCGGGGCAAACGGAGCAATAAGACCAAGGCGACCCCTGCCACGCTGTCCGTCTCGAGACGGCGGGGCCAGCTCTGCTCTTTCTGACCGAGACGCAGGTGTCCTCTCCGGCCGATGTCTCGTATCTCCTACGGGGTACAAACTGGAACACTCCTTTGTGCCTCGGGCTGGATTTTGCGCATACGTCAGAGAGGACATCTGTTCTCGACGCCTCGGCAGACTTGAAGGTTCGGACCTGTCCATCCTTTGGCTACGCGTAGACAGCGACGACCATCCACGCGTCTACGGGTGCCTCTATTGGTCCCATAGCGGTAATGCCGAAACAGACCGACTCTTCGACCGCGTCTAAATGGCTACAGATTCGTTGCTACAGCAGATCCCCTCCGCATAGATCGTGATCCTTGGCGACTTTAACGCCCATCACGCCGAATGGCTTGGTTCACGTTGAACCGATCATGCGGGGAGATCATCTGACACAACTGGTTACTTCGCCTACGCGGATTCCAGATGTGGAGGATCATGCACCTTCCCTGTTAGACCTTCTGCTGACCTCTCACCCGGACGGATATCAGATTTCCGTCGACGCCCCTTTAGGCTCCTCGGACCATTGTCTTGTCCGGAGTGTGGTGCCACTCACGCTGAAATCGCAGTTGCATTCTGCAGGCTGCCGCCGTGTTTGGCACTATAGGTCAGCCGATTGGGATGGGATGCGGTCTTTCTATGCATCCTACCCTTGGGGGCGGGTTTGCTTCACGATCCCAACGTTGTTGCGGATTCTGTCGCTGATGTGGTACTTCAGGGTATGGAACTTTTTATTCCTTCCTCTGTTGTGCCCATTGGAGGCAAATCTCAGCCATGGTTTGGTCGCTCCTGTAAAATAGCATCATGCTATAAGCAGGAGTGCTACCAAGCCTGGGCTGACGCATCAGCGTCTCGGGTTGTAAACACCAGCTCTCTAAAAAAGAAGTATAATTCCGCCTCTAGGTCCTTCAAAAGAGTCATTGCCAAGGCAAAGTCAGAGCACATAGGCAGAATTGGCGAGAAAGTAGTTCGCCTTCCTTCTGGAACTCGTGCATTCCGGTCTCTCGCCATGGCTGTTCAGGGGAATTTCTGTCAGCCATCTCTTCCATCTCTGCACAGGGAGGACGACTCACTGGTCCATACCACAAAGAAGAAAGCCGATCTGCAAGGCTCTTTCTTTACGTCCAATTCGACTCTCGATGGTCTCTCGATGGATGGCGGGGATGATCCCGCGGTGTGAGTGCTTCATTCTGGAAGTGCAGTTCACACCAAGGATTAAATACCGGTACCAATTTCGGTTCTGGTTCTTCATTTAGGTTCATATAAAGGTTCCTCTTTTCGGTACGGTTCCAGTTCCGGTATCGGTTCCGATGTACCGGTTCTAAATACCGGTTCCGATGTACCGGTCCCGAGAACCTTTATATCGGATGGTATTATACCGGTTCCTTGTCACCCAATTTAAAGATTACTTACGGAAGAGGGGATGCGTTGGGAGCGTGCTTAGCATACCATGCCTTTTCTTTTGGTTCGCCTTCGCACTTCGTAGTATTAGAGGGTACTATTTTATACGATATACGAGTAAATAATTATTATTGTGACTAATTAGGTTATATTAAAATGGATAAAGGTAAGTGTCTAATTTCAATGTTTTGTATTCATTAAGATTGTAGCTGCATTCATACTTGACGGCGTATATTAACTAAATTAGATTTAATTAAGAAATCCATTTGCAACTTTTTAGTCAAGATGTTGCTTGGTTTTAAAGAAGCTACAATAATCTCAATTGAATTCCACGTAGTTTCGGACAAATAGAGCTCATAATTCTCTGTACATATTGGCCGAAGTTCTAGTGTAGCCGAGTGAGCATATCATAAGTCGAACTCCAACGCGTGGGGCAATCCACCACAGGTGTTTTAGCCCCTATTCTTTTTAGTAAGTGTTGGTACAGTGTGGTGCGTAACTTTTTTATAACCTCACGCGCATTTGTGAGCATCGTCTGAATGGATGAAGATTCACTCCCTAAAGCATCTTGTTCACTATCTAAGTAATCTTCGAGAATAAAATTTACTTCGTCACTCGTCATCTCCATTATTTCATTCTCGTCATCATCTGAATCATCCTCATTTTCTTGTATGCTAGTTTTTAAGGCTTGTTCCACTAATCTGACCATTTTCAGCATATTTGCTCCATTATCAGTGGTTATGGAATAAATTTGGGAGATAGATATCCTGAACCGATTCAGCACATAAATTAATTGGTCTTTTAAAAACTCGGCTGTATGTCTTTGGGTGAGTTCAGTCACACTTAATGTTTTGATAACTATCTGGTCATTTTCGATGAACTGCAGGTTAATTCCTAAAAAACTTCGCAAATGGCATGATGCGATGTCTAATTTAAGACTTATAAGTTTTTTTTTTAATCTTTGAAGCAATATCATCACACAAATTGTCAGCTTTGTTTTGGGTGGCTTCACGAATTTTGTGAGAGTTTATGGGACTATGTGAGCATCCTGCCTTTGCCATATCCAATATCTTTTGGAAAGGTTTGTCGTCAATCAAAGTTAGCGGTCTCCCACATGTCGTTACTAAATTTATACATTCATCCATCACTTTAATTTCGAAATCTTGGTTGGATTTTTTCTTTCTATTTCCTTCGACGTGTTCTTCACTTTCTGCGCTATTCTCTTGAAGTATAAGCTTATATTGCACAGGATGCTTCTTCATATGTTTTAATAAATTTGTTCCATGATTATCCTGTAAGAAGCATAAAAGCACGTTCATAAATTTACCAATAGACTCGGAACAACAATAATTTTTGTAACAAACTCACGTGTTCCGTGTGGAGCTCGAACCCGCATACATTTTTTTACAATGTTCTTCAAATACATGCCTTTCATAAAATTAATTACTATGAAACCATTCAAATCCTTTGTAATAACCTAGTTTCTGTAAAATTATAATTTATAACACTACACTAACTTATACGAAGGCAAATAGTTTGTTTAGCATATTAAATAAAAAACGATTAAATAATGACAATTACTTAGGTACTTACCTTTATAACTGCACCACAGTCATTGACAGTACATGTGGAATGTTTTTGATGTTCATCATATATAAAATATTTATAGACGAAATTAGATTTCTTCCGGCCCATTGTCAGTTTGCGTAATAATGATTAACTTCTTCTTCTTAAAATAGATTATTATACTAATATATTTTACCTATTACTATAATTATTCTATTGCACTAATATATTAAAACTATTTGCACACACAACACACAAATACAAATAGGTACGTACGATTTAAAAAGTATAATTTTATTAATACGAACACGAGCGAGTGGCGCGCGCGTTCATATGCAACAGAAGATCCACCAATACAAATGTGATGTTTTAAAAACTCCCCACTCCTCACACTCTGCCGCGCGCCGCATTGCGCCGTCCACCCGACCGAACCTCAAACAAGTTTGGTCTCGATTTCGCTTTATTTAGGAACCGGTAAAATAAAGGTTCTTAAAGGTTCCAATTTAGGTTCTGGTTCCTGTTCCGGTATAGGTACCGGAACCCCTAAATACCTGTTCTATACCGGTATTTTGGAACCATTTTCAATCCCTGGTTCACACAGCGCTCGGTTCGCAAAGCACTCCTCTCCTTGGACATCCACAAGTTGAGTGGGCCTGACGGTATCCCCCCAATTGTGCTGAGGACGTGTGATCCAGAGTTGGCACCGGACTTAACACGTCTTTTCCGGTAAAGAAAGAAAGAACCATTTATTTGATTTCCGGTAGTCCTACTCCCTAGGCGTAGTCCCAAATTCACGGAAGACGGCTTTCGTCCATCCGATCCCTAAAAAGGGCGACCGCTCAGACCCGTCCAACTACAGGCCCATCGCCATCACATCCTTGTTCTCCAAAACAATGGAGTCCATTGTAAACTGCCAGCTCTTAGGGTACCTTGAAGATCACCAGCTGATTAGTGATCGCTAATACGGTTTTCGCTGTGGTCGATCAGCTGGGAAGCTCCGATTACAAGCCTATTAATGCTGGTATTCCACAAGGCTGCATGCTATCGCAAACGCTGTTTCTTCTGCATATCAATGATATGTTGCAAACCCGTAACATTCATTGCTATGCAGATGACAGCACTGGTGATGCTTTGTATACCGGCCGTGCCAATATTTCTCGGGAAAACGACTCCGAGTACCGGGACAAACTTGTGTCTGAATTCGCGACTTTATTTAACAAAAATTCGGACTGGGGGCGACTAAATCCAGTCCATTATAATCCTCAGAAGACACAAGTTTGCGCTATAACCACTAAAAAGAACCCCTTTGTCGTATCTCCTCAATTTCAAGGCACTCCCCTCGTTGCCTCAGGCAGTATCGGAACCGTTGATGTTGACATATCGTTGACGTGCAGTTTCGTGGTCACTTGGAAGAGAAGGCTAAAATTGGCCTCTAAAAAGCTTGGAGTGCTCAGCAGAGCGGGACAGTATTTCATGCCGGCACACCGACTGCAAATTTACAAGGCACAGGTTCAGCTAATGGAATACTGTTACCATCTCTGTGCTGGGCCTCTCCAGTACCAGCTCCATTCACTTGACCGCATCCAGCGCAGAGCGGCTCGAATTGTCGACGACCGAGTGCTTTCCGATCGGCTCGATTCACTGGCGCTCCGAAGAGATGTTGCATCTCTTTGCATTTTCTTTCGCGTATATCACGGGGAGTGCTCTGAGAAATTGTTCGGATTAATCCCAGCCGACCAAATTTCGTGAACGCACTACGCGGCCAACTTCCCGATACCATCTGGATGCTTGGCGGTCCACCACTGTGCGTTTCACAAGGAGTTTTCTTCCGTGTACGACCTCTCTGTGGAATAGTTTACCACTGGCGATTTTTCGGACCTATACGACCTAGGGACCTTCAAGAAAAAAACTTACTCCTTTCTAAAGGGTCGGCATCGCACCTGCAGTTCCCCTGCTGTTGCGGTTGATCATGGGCGGCGGTAGTCACTTAACATCAGATGAGCCGCATGCTCGTTTGCCCCCTGTTCTATAAAAAAATGCCTAAAGATCACTGACCTCTACAAGTACGCTTGACTGGCTATACCATACAAAATGTCTGTGCCAATTTGAAGCACCCCTAACGGTCGTCTTGGAAACTAAAATTGACATAATATGCCAAAGTCTGTTGTCTTATTTAAATTGTAATATTTAAAAAATCTGTATTTTGAACTTTTAAACTAAAATACGAAAGTATTTTATGTTGTTTGATTGTGTATAATATTAGTTACATAATAAGAATTATTTTTAATAACAATGAAAGTGTGCGTAATGTGTAAAACTCGTTACCAAAAGCGAAGTGGTATAACATTTCACAAGTAAGTGAATTTGCAGCTAATATTAAACAAATTAAAACTATTTCATAATATAAGTACTTAAATTTTTTTACTAATCTTAATATCATATATACCAACATATATATGGCTGTATATTACTGAGTTTTGATAAACAATAAAATACTTATCGATGTTCTTTCCTGCCCATATCTGTTAACAAACAAAGTCGCCAACAACAGATGATTATCAAATGTTTATTAATTAACAGGCTTCCAACTGAACCTAGACTCAAATTATGGCTTAAACGCATAAATATTGTGAATTGGCATCTGTAACAAAATGATCATATTTGTTCTGAACTTTCACAGACGACTGTTTTATTAGACATGAGAACTGCACCACTTTGAAAGAGTGCAATATTTCAACAATATTTTCTGGTAGTACCAGTACCAGTAAGTATAAAGGTATTAGATTATTATTCCGAATGTTTTTTTATTTCTTCTTTCCTCATTTTGCCCCAAACTCAAGGGCCATAGCCAAGTGTCGAAAGGTCGCCTGATGATGTCGAGCCACGTTGGATGTGTGTTAGTGGGCTGCGGCAGAGGAGATTCCTCTCCCTGTACCGCTGTAGTCGAGGTGGAGTCGTCAGGGAAGAGGAGTGTTGGTATGGCGATTGGCGATTCGATGCCACTCGACTATCCTTCGCGACTTTGGTGAGGTTGCACCACTTGATGCTTCCTTGTTCGTTTTTTCCTGGCTTCATTCACATATCGTCCGTAGTGCAGGTGGAGTCAGAGGCCGCGAAGGGCAGTATGCCTTGTGTTTCTGGTGCGCCTTATCTGAGAAGAAAAAGGGGGGAGGGGGAGAAGGCAGCAACTAAGGAGGGGCTGCCATTGGGCGGCTGGCACCGGAGGGACCGCGGATGTGCATGAAAAAGTTTCCGTGGCCCTGTCAATTTGCGGCGGAGGTAGAACACCATGGGGTTTTAGTAAATGCGAGTCTAGAGATTTAATTCTCTGTCGAGTCTCAAGATTTAATTTGTGCTTTAACTTCGTAGTGGCCCTACTTTAATTTATTTGTTATTTACAAATTCTGGCCATCGTTTATATTCACGGTTTTTGGCAGCTTCCTCTTCCGCAAGATCCACTGACAAAGGCAATTAAGTGTTCGATCAAGAACCCATAGATTGCGATATGTCAAGCCCCGTAGAATACGTGGCACTGCCGAAGCTGGAAAGCGCAGGAGGATAAACTTAGGAATGAGGATATCGGCAGTAGAATGGATTAGTAAGCTGAAGTGGCAATTGACCGGCCATATAGCTCGAAGAACCGATAACCGATGGGAAAAAAGATTCTCGAGTAGCAGCCTCGTACCGGCAGGTGAAGTGTCGGAAGTCCCCCCACTAGATGGAGTGAAAACCTGGTAAGACATACAGGAAGTTGATGGATGCAGGTGGCTCAGGACCGTGCTTTGTGGCATTCCTTGGGGGAAGCCTATGTTCAGCAGTGGACTCGTGAAGGGTTTTCATGATGATGAATGATAATGGCATTATATTAATGTGATACATAAATAGAATGGACGTTACGGGTAGAGTCCATCTATCCATAGAGTCCATTCTATTTATTTAGGTATAGGTAGGTATAGAATTTTTATCGATATATTTTGTCACACTGTCTTGTCCCTATTATTAGTTTCGTGGACGTGCACTTCTGCTCTCAGCGCCAAAATGGCACAAATCAAATTGCCTCATCACGTCACGGTGTATAGCCAGTCCAGCGTACTTGTATATATAGAGATCAGTGCTAAAGATGCATATACCCAGGAATAAATTGTGATCAAAATTATATTAACTGTATTGCCAAGGGATTTTGTATCCTTTGCCGTTGGAAACTAATCCATAAATGTCTTTCATTATAATGATATTTTGTAACCTAAAATTAGATATTAAACATGGTAGTCAAGATATAGCTGGTTTATGGCTGCAGTTCAAATGAGTGAGCTTGAGTGAGGAAGGACCACGCTCTCACAGAATGCCAACATGAAATAGTAGCGTAATGCTGCTGTGTTTCGTATGGTGAGTGTAGAGAACAGGAGACCCTATATATGTATCTTAGTCCTCTATATAAATACATACATATACAATTAAAAAAAATCTTTGCTATGTATTTTAAAAATTACCAAATTGTTTACGTGGTAGAGCCATGCTGCAGCTATATTAATTGTATAGTTGTAGCACGAATGGGTCGGCTCGACCGGGGAAGGACCACGCTCTGACAGAATATCAGCGTCAAATAGCAGCTTAATGCTGCTGTGTTTCTTATGGTGAGTATAGAGATCCGGAGACCCTTTTTACTAGAAAAGAGGCATTCCATCTTAGTCCTCAAGGCTGACAACGCATCTTCATTTTGATTCGCAAACGAGGATAGATGGAGATGTCAATGGGCCACAGCAACCACTTACCATCAGGTGGACTGTGTGCTCGCTTGTCATACTTTTCCTATAAAAAAAAATTATGAAAAATTCGAGAAAGAAAATCTACATCCTATGACGGTCTTTTAACTTCTGTTGCTACAAATTTTAACTATTTTAATTTTCGTTTTATACTGGAAACGAGGCATTCAATCTTAGTTCTTAGGGGTGACAACGCATCTGCGTTTTGATTCTTAATCGAGGATAAATGTAGATGTCTATTGGCCACATCAAACACTTACCATCAGGTGGACTGTGTGCTCGTTTGTCACCCTTATTCTATACAAGAAAAAAAAACGAAGCCAAATACGAAATCAATACGAAGGAATAGAGACAGATGCGCAATAA